TACAAAAAATAACGCGATATTTAAAGAGTCCTTATAATGTAATTAGACTTGTCGGCGGGGCTGAATAGACTTTTACCGAGGCCTTTAAGTACAACTATTTCACAATAGTGTTGGATTCTTAGTTGAAAATTATAAGCCAAGGTATTTAAAAAGATGGCCGTCGATGGTTTACGTACTGTTGCGTAGTCGGCTTCGGTAAGCCCAGAGATTAAAGTACGTTAAACTTCGTTACGTGTTGTTTTCTAGTAAAACGTAGTGTAGCAGTAGCCAATGGTCTAAGCAGAGCCGTATCCGTCAAAGGCTCGCAGTAAGCACATGAACCAAGTTCTGTCTGATTCATGCCTGTAGCTTTCAAATGTAAAGGGAAGGTATACCAGACTATTGAAGTCCTACAGCGGCACCGCCAGTCTACCGTGGCAGAGCCACACAGCTGTTGCACTAATGGGCAGGCCCGTCCGGGGAAGGAAGTTCCCCACAGAATATCGAAGTGATATAATTCTTTTTTTATGTGAGAAAGTGGCAAACGACCTGGCGATTCACCTGATGTTAAGTGATAACCGCCGCCCATGGACATTTGCAACACCCGTAGGGTTGAAAATTTGCTCATCTCAAATACACTCAAATCACACTTACCAGACAAAACGCAGAAGTGCAACACTTCTACTTTACGCCGGTCTTCTGTGAGGTAGTGGTACTTACCCGGACGTACCTGCCTATTCGTCCAACAGAATACTGTTGCGTGGTCCTAACACAGATTAAAAATTCAGCTTTTCGTCTGGTGAGTGACGCATCTACAACCCCACGGGTAAATGTCCATGGCCGCCACCTCGCTTGCCATCTTATTACATTTTAAAAAAAACGTCTGATGTTAATTATGTATCCAATATGGAACATCAGCTGCCGAGAGCACGTTACAACGGAAATAGTTACGGGATATGTAAAGTGACGTGCCAAATCTAGCTCGGCTGGCACCCGAACATTAGACTTGTAAAACCTGTGCCAAGACACTGGGCCGCCCGCGTCAGGTGGTCGGGATATTTTTATGTAGGTCAGGTGAGTTCGGAATGCGTGAAAGACGAGAAAAATTTAATCTCGTTTGATAATGATTTAACTGTGGTAGGGCCACGCAACCGCTTCGGCTGTTGCACGAATGGGTAGTTCCGTCCGGGTCAGTACCACGACCTTAGAGAAGACCGGCGTGAAGTATCACACTTCTACGTTCCGTCTGGTGAGTGAGGTAGCCGGGGCCCACTTTATAAAGGTGGCGACGCATTTGCAAAACTACGGGTGTTGCTAATGTCCATGGGCGGCGGCTAGCACTTAACATCAGGTAAACCACCAGCTTGTTTGCAACTTTTTCACATAAAAAAAAATATTTTGTCTAAAGTTTCGTAAACTTTCAATGGCTGTCCACGTGAGCTTATGACATTGTAAACAGCTTCTATCCTTTGTTGATGCGTTGATACCCAAGGATGAGTTCGTAAGGATGAGTGGCATAATAGTCTCGAAAAAAACTTTCGTTCGGAAGTTGGTTGTAATGTTGGTAGCTATATTGCCGTGACCTCGAGAAAGTTCTACATATTATATAATATGCGAAATACATATACACAGGTTCCAGTTGAATTTAGAACCGGGTCCCCCTGGTTTGTAGTCTAGAGGTCGCGAACCTTTTATTTAGTTGGCGTTTGTCTACATGAATTGTGAATTCTGACAAAAGTTTTCCGTAAAACTTTATTTTACGGTAAACATTAGCAGGAATTCAATTTGTATGGATTTATTAATTTTATTTATTCGCCATGCACAAACAGTACATAGGCGGACCTATTGCCAAAGAAGTTATCTCCCAGTCAACCATGGGGTACAGAGAAGATTAGGTACACAGAAAGATATCAAAAAGGGAAAACGTTGATAAACTGTATTATATGTTAAACTAGCTGTGCCTCGCGACTTCGTCCGCGTGGAATTCAAAATAAATAAAATTAGCCTTAGTTATTTCTTATTACATAAGCTATCTGACAGTAAAAGTCCCGTCAAAATCGGTCCTGCCTTTTTACGGACAAAAATTGTAAAAATTGTTACTTTGGTAAATGTAGCGTGTATCTATAAGCAGACTCCAAATATATTTATCTGTATAAAAAAGTACATTGTCTTAGTCTAACGCATCTAACTATACGTAATAACATATCCATCGCAGTGAAAACATATTCCGAATGAACAAACACCCATTACATCGAAAGGTTTTAGGTTTGGCGACGTAAGGAAACGTATGTATGAGTTACGCGATCACTTGAGCTCGTCCACCTATGCAAATATTCGTCGATAACTCTTAAAGTGAACGTTTAACGTTATATTACTTTAAAATTTGTAGAAAATTTACGCAAAGTTTACGCCGCTGTGGAAATCGAACACACGACTTCAGGTTGATTGCTCCACGAAAATCTCAGCGTCTTGTACCTACCTTGTTTTTTCACTTTTGAAGCAATGTTATATTACTTGCTAAATGATTGCGCTCGAAAACTAAAGTAGTAAAGTAACACTTATACATTTACGTCCCATTGCGGGGTAAAGGCCACGAACCACCAAAAAGGACAGACTGTACAGACAGCATTAAGGTATAGTCTACAATTAAGGTTAAAAAAAAATTCTTAGTGTGGCAGTGCTTTACAAGATCTCATTTTCCTATAACGAATGGTTAGGGTTGCAGCCTGCTTGGTGGCGGGTAGCTGGTGAACACAATAACCAAAGCTCAACAAAATCCAATTCTGTCGTTTGTAATTTTTCTATCCTGTAGCGTATAATAAATAAGTTGAAAAAATTGTATGACTGATAATAATTTCTTGTATTTACTCGACTGCTTACTACTAAACGAAACTACTTTTAAGGATTTGTGTGGCGTTTATTTTTAATTATTGTTCCCGAATTTTCGAACACTTACACTTTCTGCGTAGATCGGACACAAGAGTAATGATTTAAAAACTGGCGGTAGCCCGGGCTAACAATGACATTCAGACGTCCAACTCCTCACGCCCGGTTTCTGAAACACTGATCGTCGTAGAAGTCAACTAATCAGCTGTCAAATGGCTTTTCAAATGTTATTTGAGTTGCCAAAAGCATTGTTAAACTCTCTGAATCGGTCAGAATGATCTTAATGATTAGTTTTTTTTTTTTTTTTTTTTTTTTTTTTTTTGTGCGAAAAGTTGCCAAACGAGCAGACGGTTCACCTGATGGTAAGTGAATACCGTCGCCCATGAACATCTGCTACACCCGAGGGTTACAGATGCGTTGACAACCTTTTGAAAATTGGGCTCCGGCAACCTCACTCACCAGACGAAACGCGAAAGTATTTGACGTACTTCCACTTTACGCTGGTCTTCTGTGAGGTCGTGGTACTTACCCGGACGGGCCTGCCCATTCGTGCAACAGCCGAGGCTGCTGCGTGGCCCTACCACCGTTTATTATTATTACAAAAATAAAAAACAGGTTATATAATTTACGATGGAAATCAGATCGATTTTTACTGTGTTCAAGTCAGTGGTCTAATCGAAGCTGATTTTAAAGGATGGCAACGCATCTGCAAAATTAGGGGTCTGCTCGCTTGCAACTTCATAAGAAACATTTAACTGTACGTATTGACGTCAATGGCTTTATTAGTTGCTAAGTAGTCGCTTGTACCTTTACACAGCGGCGTCGACATCCCAAGGTCAGACTAAAGGTCCTAGTCAGGTTTTTTCCCCTCTTAATACGGCATCCGTTCTCTCACACCGTGATTATTAGATGTTTTAGTGTTAATCTCGCAATGAATTGTAGGTTATATTAAATATATTTTATATCGAGAATTAATTGTTACCCGCTTTATAACAATCCCTGTTTAAAAATATTGTTTCCAGTAAATTTATGTTGTGCCGAGTTTTTTTTTTATTCATTTGCTCGGCATATTTTCTTATTTACTATCTATGCGAATGCGAACCGACAACTCTAGAAAGTGTATTTAAAACTGTCGCAAAATTTTGGATTCGAACTGCGCCTTACGGATTACGCATCCAGACGCTCTAGCCACTAAGCTGACCAGTCTACATTCTCACCGTGCGAAAATCGACGTCCTATTTACGTTGTTTTTATTGAATTTTTAGCAATGCTTGGCGTCATGTAATGATTCCTTTACAACAATCACACTTACTCAAACTATATTTTACTATGAATATTCGAAAACTAGAGACAATATATTATGTAATAAAAATTATGTGTCTACTTATGTACGCACGTAAGACGTTAAACTTCTTTTGTGTTACAAAAGAAAAATAACTAAAAATTGTATCTTCTGCGCCGGTTATCCTTGTTCGTGATAAAGACATTAAATGCAATTGATAATGGTCTAATTAAATAACTTGGAATTACAGGTAAATGTCAAAAAATTGTTAATTTGTTCCCATGGTTATTGGTTATACCGTGAATTTGGTCGCTTTGCAACCAACTGCATGTCGCTTTTTGAATGTCGGTGTACGCACGTGGGCATCGTAAAAACTTTACTCTCATAATTTTTTCAAACGCGCAATAACAGGTATAAATTGAATAAAATTAATTTTTATTGCTAGTCTCTGCACAAATGTGTAGATAAAACGACGGTGTATGTTAGATAATAACCTGAACCCACGTTCTCACGCGGCAACGCCACTTTCACCAACTAAAAATATTTGTTAATAATAGGAACGTGTTAAGACACCTCGAGACACTTCCGCTTTACTGCCTCGTAAAATTTTAAACGCTTAAGCATTTCGAGAAGGCATTTTAATGGGCCCCGCGCGGAGATAACAGAAATAGTCATGTTGCTTTACTATTGACATAATTTGTCTACTAAAGTTCAACCTTTGTCAACATTTTTGCTCCTGCTTCAATCAACTTCTCGCACATTTAAACTAGTCGACATTCGCATCTCTACTAGATACGAGTGTCGACCGCCTGAGCCGTCCTACTCTGCTAAGGCCCTTGTTCCTACGAGTTGTATGGCCGGCCCTTTGCCCATTCAGCGCACCAATCTTCTCAAGTCTGCCCATACCTTAGTTCTACTGCGGATCTGCATTGCGAACTCTGTCACGCGGAGGAAGATCGAGGAAAATCACTCCAAAGGCCATCTGCTTTACTTATCGCGTAGCCATAACGTCGCCGCGAGGAGCCAGCCTATCGCTATTGACGCCAATGCATCCCGTTTGGTACTATGTTTAGATTCCAGCGGATCTGTACCATCCGTCATTCCGTACTATATTGAACGCTGGCCGATTTCCAGCCGGGTTATTGACATGGCCGGTGAAGTTTTGGGAGCACGCCAGCGTAGCATGTGCGGTTACCGCGATATCGCAACAGAGACACTTCCATCTGGACACTACCTTCTAGCCTTTACCCGACAACACCAGCAAAACCAGAGCCGGAACAGAAACTGATAGTATACCACTCGGCAGTTTCCATCCACACTTGAATAGACTTGCCCGTCCTCGAAATACCGCGGCCTGACGGAACACCGCGGTTTGATGTAGAAAACGCTTTAGCGTTTCGTCTGCTGAGTGAAGTAACCGCGGTTGAAAGCCGTTGCCATGGAAACTGCAACAAGTCGTCTTTAAGATGACCTAGAGTTGCCTAGTGGTGGCGGTGACCTAGGTAGCGTAAACTCTAGACATACAGTGAACCGTTTTGTCGTTTGCCCCAATGCTTTCATGGAAGTCCATGGCGACGTAACAATAGGATATCATAATTATCCATTATAATTGCCCTATCGTAGTCCACTGCTGGATATAAGCCTCTCCCGTTGCACGCCAACTCGTACGACCATCTGCTTCTCGCATCCAATTGTTTTCAGCAATTACGCATATACGTAAGTGCATATATGACTATCAGCAAGCCTTTATAGAATCAAATATCTTAGAAGCTTCACATGATGAAATGAAAGCAAAGACTTCATCGAACAAAATCAAGAAGCTGATATACGTTAAGGTTTATGCCTCAATAGGTTGACAGAGTCCCAATGCTGAGTTCAAGGAAACTTCAATTTACGCCTATTATTAGGTAGCCTCGCTGATTCAGACAATGTATGCAAGATTAGACTAACTGAACATATTTACAATGTTTCATTATATTCATTCATTTATCTTAAGGTTAGATCTCGGTCAATTTTCGGTAATGGTAATACTGATGATTTGGACTAACGTAGCAACTTTATTTTGCCATAAAGTGGCTAGAGTTCGACTGTTAATCTTAACAGAGAAGAATATAGTTGACTATTATGGTAATAGTTGGTTTGTAGATCCATTAGCCTTAGCCGTCTTCAACTCCTAAAGAACAGAACTTTCTAAATATTTTAATTCGTAGTAATAGAATTAGGATGACGACAATTTGCCCGTATTGTAAGTTTCGGAATTGCATTGGCATGCTGGTAATAAGGCAAAGCGACTATTTTATACCGCCTGAGCACTGCCTAGGTGCCGTCGAGTTAATAAACATACCAAAGGCACGTGTGTTGCGCGTGTCAGTAAAAAGCTGACAGATTACTTTCTTAGCGTTACACAACACTCATGTTTATAGATTCATTTACATTAATGTTAATTATTCATACCTATTGCATACAAGAACTACTCCCACTAGGACTAGGATTTATAATTTAAACGTAGCGTGAGTTTTAGGACGCCTAAAAAGTATAAAACCATTCGTGCAGTTTTTTCTCGATTTTGCTTTATTTGCTAACTGAAAACTGTACGGTTAGACTACCTGAGACTATACTGATGTTATACATGTATGACGTAAGACAGAATCGAACCATCTTATGTAACACGATAGTTTATTTTTGGTTGCATATAAATAGTACATTTCTAAACATTTCAAACGTTACAAAAGCTATAGATATTTCTGTAAAGCTGTTGTATACCTACGTAGAAATCAAAAGCTGTTGTATTTCAAAAACTTATGACGCGCGGTTTGACTTTAGGTGCGAGCTTAAGGTAAATAATAAATTAATATTAGGTACAATAAATATAATAAATTAATCAAAATATATTGGTGTCAATTTGTTACTCTTAGTGGTTGGGCAGCAAGTGGTATAGTGAATTTCAGTGAACGGTGGATAGCATAGGCTAATCCATCGCTGAGTTGCCATGTCCTCGAATTAAAAAAAAATATTTGACAAACAATCGTCCTGTATGCTAATCGCCTCAAACGGGGACATCTGCAAATCAGACAAGTAAGCTGAGGAATACTACATGTTCTCAACTTTGCGTCCTACTTTAGACTAGCCACATCGGGTCTAGTCGATTAGGAGACAGGTGGATAGATGATGTATTTGGCGCGATATTATGAAACGTGTTTTCTTATTACCTACATGTCTTTATTCATTATCTTTATCAGGCCGAATATACTATTCGTTTCAACTATAATAATTATGTCTTTGTGTGTCCAGAACTGAGAACGCAATTAGTTTCAAGAAAAGGTTATCCAAGGGTGGCGGTTATAAATGCGATGTACTTAACATCGTAAACATTATGTCCCCGCCGACACGTTAGCCATTTCTATAAAATAAAAACCAGCCAATTGCGAGTCGAACTCCCACACGAAGGGTTCCGTACCTTTATCTGTGAAAACGGCAAAAAATTGTCTGTTATAAGGGAGCCCCACTAAAATACCTGTGTTATTCTGATGTATAAGCTATGTTATTGTGAAGTTTCATTAAAATCCATTCAGTAGTATTTGCGTGAAAGAGTAACAAACATCCATCCATACACACACATACAAACACATCCACATTCTAATCTGTATAATAAACAAATTCTGATCACTCGGATTAAGCAGTTTTAAGTGGTCACCACACCGACTACTATATCTACAATATGGCGTATATTGTACATTAGATTTTCGAAAACGGTACGAAAATGTAATTTATGAGGACTGAGGTAGGACTGCGGAGTTAAAAGATTCAAAACCTATAAACACTGTGGGTTTGCGATTTTATATTTTGGGAATTCACAGGTTTTTCTGGCTTGGGAGTACAGTTTTTAAAAAGTTAATGGGCGAGAATTTTTCGCGTAAACATCTGTCAGATAATGTAAATGTTTTCTTAGTACAATAATGTTTTCTTTTGCAAACATTTTTAAAGACTTATTTCAGTACGCTTTTGTGCTTCGATGTTAAGAAAATGTGTCATTATAGTATCTATGTGTTATATTATTTCCCGGCATTTTATAATGGTCGTAGCATTTTATGAAATTATTAAGGTTTTGTGTAGACACATACAGTAATTACACAAAATAGGAACAATACCATTATTTTGCAATTTTATCATTGAAATGCATGTTGAGTCCGTGGTGCAGTTGCCAAGAATGTGCGTTGTGGTGCAGTTGGCTTCGGCGCCGGGGGTCGTGGGTTCGATTCCTACAGCTATTTGTGTGGTGACCCACAAATAATTCGGATCAGGGTGTCTGGCTGCGTGAAATTTGTGTATGTTAAACGTCTTTACAACACAGGCTAAGGTCCATGTCAGAATGTATCGCGGTTTCGAAAATCCGTGTCGACGAGCGTGTTTGCATCGTATTTGCAGTCTCTGTATACCGCGGTACGACAAAACTTCGTCTTTTTAATATGGAAAGTGGACTATCGAACACAACTACATTATTATACACAAAAATCAATTCCATCTATCGGTTAGTTTTTGAGTTTTGTAAGCACAAACATACGGAAGACAAATATTTATACATTAAGATGTCTTTGTTCGTCTCGAGTTGGTGTCTCTAGGAACAAGTGAACAATGCAATCGTAACGTTGCACGCACGCAACGACCTTCGCAAACGATGGTCTCTCGCCACAATGGATCTCCGATGACTCAATCGATGCGTTGGTAACGTTTTGCCAGGGACCTACCTACATAAGCAAAGTAAGCATAAAAAAGTAAATGTCCCAGTGCTGGGCAAAGGCCTTCGTTGTACAGAGGGTATCAGGGCATAGTCCACCACGCGACCCCACTGCGGATTGGCGGACTTCACATATACAGCCTATAAATGTCCCACTGCTGGGCAAAGGCCTTCGTTGTGCAAAGGCTTAGTCCACCACGCGACCGCCTTTTTAACGTTAAAAGTTGCCAAGCGAGCGACGTCAGGCAGGCGGCCGATCGTAAAAACCATAGCCGAACCGGCTTGCAACATATTTCACAAGTTGTGCCGCCCCCACCTAGGTGGGATAAGGGCAGAAGATGCTGGCTGATTCACACCGGATTTCACATCATAAGCATTGAATAGTTTACACTGTGCTTATACCATATATCAACCAACACAAAAGACCGGCGTAAAGTGGAAGTATAATAAATACTTTCGCGTTTCGTCTGGTGAGTGAGGTAGCCGGAGCCCAATCTTCAAAAGGTTGTCAACACATCTGCAACCCTAGCAGATGTCCATGGGCGGCGGTATTCACTTAACATCACGTGAACCGCTTGGCGTCTTCACAAAAAAAATTGGGAGATCCTAATAAATGCTTTTATTCTGTTTTTTATTATTTCTTGTTATAGCGGCAATAGAAATACATCATCTGTGAAAATTTCAACTGTCTATCCGGTTGCCCACCCCTGGTCTAAACTACACAGTTGTACCTGTGATTACATTGTTGTCTCGGTTCTACCGTTTCGGTTGACTTTCGAGTTACCGAACGTTGTCAGTAAACAATCGTAGGTCCTACTTCCGGCGAGGTCTTGTTCACCTTTCTCACCTTCATGTCTAAATTAAGTATTTACTTAGGTAGTTTCGGTATAACATGAGTCCTATTAATTGTAGTGTGAATCATACATTTCTACGCGACACCGTTTTAAAGTTATACAAAATGTTAATCAACTCTCGAACTATATCAAATAAATTACCACGGGAAAGTATATTTATGAGTTTAGATAGCAAGTTGATTACGAGTACGTATTATCGATTGAGCTGTACCCTATGGCGCGACGCCATTCGACGGTTCCTTGGTTCGATACGCGCTCAAGACTATCTTATGACACATACTAATAATTTTTAGTAATTAGAATTTTTTTAAGTGCTAATCTCTGCATTAAAGATAAAACATTAAAATTTGTAGAAAACGTACGAAAAGATTATCGCCGCTGTGGGAATCGAACCCACGTCTTGGGCATTCGCGGCCTGACGCTCTAGCAACTAAGCTAAACGGCTGATTGCCACACCGACGAAAATCTTAACGTCTATTATCTACATTGTTTTTTTTAGCATTTGAAGCAACGCTAAACAAGTAATGGTAACATCTCGTTCGAATTATCGTTGTAAAACGTTATTCGAAATTGTTTGTATCCTGGAAAGGACATACAATGGATGCGCCAAGCATTTGGTACTCAACATTTCCCATTTTCTCGGATCAAATTTCGGCAAAATGTTTTCACTTATGTATCTCTTCCTATCCGCTGTCA